ATTCCACTCAAGCCATAATCCCCAAAATAGCAACTAAGAATGAATCTAGAAGAAGGAAACTCAAGGTAACAGATTGTTACCTCATAAATGATCCAAAGGAGGAGTAGATCCATGATCTACAATGATATCCAGATGCTAGCCTCTTGATCTTCAACCTTCTTCTTCTCAATTTCTCTTCCCAAGCTCTAATTCTTCATCAATGGAGGTTATACACGATTTTAGGGTTTTCTGGATATTGGAAGGTAACAAAGAGGTTGAGGGTAGGTTATAATGTCCTTTATATATAGCACAACCCCGAAATTAGGGTTCTCTCCACCCATCACCAACTCGCCGAGTTGGTCACTTAACACATGACCAGATTCGCGACCCGACTCGCCGAGTCTACCTATTGACTCGCCGAGTCGGTCTTCCATATTTACACTAAGCATCCTGAACTTTGCTCTTCTGAACTCGGGGTGTTACATCATCCATATAAGTGAGGTGAGTCTTCTCACTATACTTGCCTGTGTGGTAGTATATACATGCTGACCAACTGGGTCTTATTTGTTGATTGTTGTTATATGCGAACTGAGCTACTGATAACTTATGGACTACTGATAGTCCCTAGGGTTGTTGATAACCCATGAGATGTTTTGTTAATCCACAAGGCGTGTTGTTAGCCCACTGGGACTACTGATAGTCCCTATGGTTGTTGATAACCCATAATTGTTTATATTGTTGTGTTGCATGTGATTTTCAGGACTGCTGATAGTCCCAGGGTTGTTGATAACCCTTAGCTGATTATTATGTTGTGTTGTATGTGATATTTTGGGTAACTTATTAAGCTTTGTGCTTATAGTTATGGATTAAATATTTTTGCATGTATTTAAAGGATTGCTAAGGCGAGACTATACACACGTATCAACAGTTTTATGATTCGAATTCCGCATTATCTCCTTTATAACTATGATTTATGGATAATGGTTTTTAAACAAATGGTTTGACTTGAGTGTAATTTTATAAAAATGCGTGTTTGTATTATATTAAAAATAAAAAATTCAATTTGGAATTTGGGGCGTTACAGTTTCTCATTAATCTATTTAAAATATTTACAATATTTCCTTTTGTTCTATAAAAAAACAACGAAAACCATGAGTGCGTTACACTTCTTGTTAGATAAACTTTGAATTTCAAACATCTTATAAACCTTCTACTAGGGATCAAGGGAGTCAAGGAGGTAAATAATGGAACTTTGACAATCGACATGACACGACACCTTTGGATTTCGCCATTTCATATCAACCTCATGCTCCTCCGACAACTTGATGCTACGACAACACCATTAAGAATAAGAAGATAGTAAATGACCTTATTTAAACCTGCTCGTTTAAGCTTATATAGTGAAAAGGTTCGGCTCACAAACCTCTCATGAGTACCATCTCAAAACCGTTACCACCTTCATGCTAATCTAAATTGCAGTACGTTCTTGTTAATAACTCGTTGGTTTTTCTTCAGCGACACTTTACACCTTCATGCCTATTTTCTACTTCCACCAACGATTCACCAACTCTCTTATATGCTTATTTAATCATGATCCTGAGAGATTTGTGAAAGCATGTCCGAAGAACTCTAGATGTTGCAAATTTTGATGCTGATATAACTACATTGATCCGAATTGCCAATATTGTTCACAAAACACCCCTTGCGATTCACCATCATGTGGTAGACTAAACAACACAGTAGCTGGTGTCTAATTCATTTCAAACCCCACAACATAAATATTTTATTTTTTTTCATTTTTGTTGTCGTAAATTCTTTTGTTGCCGCATAGTTTGTGCTTTAGAAAAAGGCATATCACAAAATTTTGTTGTTTATCGCGAGAGTTTCTCGTAGTTCGTAAGTCAAAAAAGGACATTCCCGATAACTCAGCCGACTTTTTTAGAGGAGAATAAATGCCCATTTTATTGAACCCATACAAAATATGGTCATATCGAAATATGAGTCGTTCAATCATTGGGATTTTCTTTATACACCCCAAGCTACACTGTACACCAAACTAATCTCTAACCTATTAAAAATATAGCCTATTTTGATTATAGATCCCTTTAAAGAAAAAAAAAGTGAAATATTGAAAATTGTGTCCTTCCATTTACACGCCTCCTTTTTGTTCGTTTTCTTTTTTCTTTTTCCTTTTTTTTTTCTTTTATGATTTCTTTGATTTTTTAAGATAAACACCTTATTTTCTATTTTATATTTTAAGATAGACACCTCATTTTTATTTATTTATTATTATTTTTTTTATGATTTTTTACCTAAAGAAAAAAATAAAATAACTCATAGTGTTCTTTTTTTTTTCTTGTTTTCTTTTATAATTTCTTTGTTAAACCACGCATACTAAATTTTAATTTTTACATTAGTATACAAATATAAGTTTATAATCATTATCACTGTTTTAAGTTGAATATGTTATTTTTTATATCCAAAAATTAAACATATATAAAAGTTATTATCATTATAATTTTCAAGGTTTGAAACCGTATAAAAGTTTAATCACAATTATTTGAAATTAAGTTGTTTATATCTTTTTATTTTTGTATAAGTACGGCTTTTATTTGGTATCTAAAACCAATTACATAACCTTTTTATTTTTGCATAATTACCATTTTAAAAAAATTTCAATTTAAGATAAAACTAATAACCGTTCAATTTTTTTAATAGTAATATAAAAATAATATTAATCTCCCTATCTAATAAACAAAACTAATATGCCACGTGTCCCTTCAAAAACACTGATTTCATCCAACGTTAAATACCGTTTTTGCCCCTCTTTGATATAGATTTCAATATATAAGGTATGATATAGATTGCAATTAAGTTGATTTATTTTTGCTGGAATTTGGATTAAAATTGGAAGGTAAGAGTGTATTCCTAAATTATAGGAATTCCACTATGGAGATTGCATGTTAAATTCTATTTTGGTGGAAATTTGATTACTAATCTACCGTGTGTGCAGGGATTCAAATTACTAACAGCAAAAATGGTAAAATCATTTTGATTTTCTCTTTGACACATTAAAAAATATGCTAATTTCAGCAATAATTAGTGCCTATTTAATCACATACATAAATATACGGTTAATTGATAATTGATATATGTTCTCATTTATGGTTTATAAGTTTATATTATATGCATATATTTTTAACATACACGAAAAATGTAAAACTTGGTTGTTATTTATTGTAAAATTCCATGTTAACACAGGACCAAATTTGACAAAATGACAAAAAAATGTAGCTAAGTTATTAACTTCTTATTACAATCTATTTCTAAATAATTAATATAGAAGTCTAAACAAAACATATATCTTATTAATTTAATTGAATTTTTTAAATCTTTGATTTTCTATTACCATTTTTAATTATTAATATTGTTTTTTTTTTTTTTTTTTATCTTACCCGTGGTTTCCACGAGTGGTAACCTAGTATAATTAATATAGTAATATAAGCTTTTTGATTGAACCATGCAAAAGTATATAATATACACTAATTTTTAAGTATAAAATATAAATAAAAAAAGGAACTAAAAAAAGGAATATGCAGTAAAAAGAGTTAGTAATAAAACACTTAAAAATTAAGTTAAGTAATATTAATAAAGTTAGTAATAAAAAGTAATTATTATATAATAAATTAAGAATGATTAGGTTATAATAAAAGTTAGTCAAATGATAATAATTACCATATTAACACAAAAAGTAAACCTATTAAAATAGGTTGATTTTGTAGATTGGTGTGTCCAAAGTAGGATCCATAGTCATTTTAGTAAATAACTCATTATTAATTTTGGTAAATCAGATATCTGATAACCTTTATTTTATAAAGGACATATTATAATAAAACTTAAAGCATTTACCGACATAGAGTTTTGATAATTTACTCACTTCTTACTTATTGACTTAAATAAAGAGGTTTTGACTGATTCCTAGAGTCCATGCAATACCTTGCACACCACATGGTCCGGGGAAACCATATACCCAAAGCAAGTCATGTGTAATCATGCACGAGTTGAAGCATGTAAGAATAGAACCTTGAACAACTCATTTGGAGTGATTTATGTCGTACTTAGACAACCAACTTTTGCCAAATTTTATTTTGTCATGAAATTGTTTCAGTATTAACGATTATACCACTAAATAACAATTTTCAGTTTCTTTTGGCTATCGCGAATCGGTAACGGTTAAAAAAGCATACATGGCATGCACTATCTAGAAAAAAATGACCACCCTTCACATCACCACCAAAAACCCACCAATATTAGCTAATATCGAAACTCACTCATTTCTTTGTACCAATCTTAGCATTCCATATATCGAAAAACACCCTGGATCGAAATCCCTTTGATGAAGACATGTGAAAAGTAAAGTAAAATAAAGAGTAAATTACTAAAATCATCTATATGGTTTGGGAAAATTTCACTTTGTCCCTATCTTTTTCTTTTGCATTCGGATTATCCCTATGTTATATTTTGTTGTGATTTTTGTCCTATTATAAATGAAAAGACTATATTACCCTTGACTTTCTTTTAGTTTATCTTTTTATTGTATTTGGTTTTATTAAATAAGATTAATTTCAAGGGATAATGATCTAAAAGCCCTTTAGTTTGACAAAAATATGTAGATTTATCTTTTTACGGATTTTAGGTTCATTAAAACTGGATTTTTGCAACTTATTTTTAATTGTACCATCTTTTGCATATATCCCGGTAAAATCAGACATTTCTGTCAAACTTAAGGGTTTTTATGAACTAGAAAAAGGATAAAATTGAACATTTTTGTCAAGCGTAAGGGGTTTAATGAACAAGAAATACACAAAAGGGTAAATTTGAAAAAAAAAAAAGTTGCAAACATCCGGTTTTCGTGAACCTGAAACCCTCACATTAATGCCAAATTTAAGGGCTCTTATGTAATTATCTCTAATTTCAATGGTCTTACCCTTTTCCCCATCCCCTTTTAAACAAATCTATCCTTAACTCAACTCAGTCGGTCCATGTTTCTCGTCATAGTAGTCGCCGCAGCCACCATGTCGTTGACCACTGCTATTAACAATCACCACCACCACAAACATTGCCATCAACCCCCAACCTTCTTTCCTCACCACCACCGATAACCTAACACCATTGTCGCTATCCATCTCTCACCCATCTATGTTGCTGCCACCACCTCATATCTTTTATCATTTCGAAATAAACCCACCACGGGAACCATCTTGTTCACCCATGTTGACATCCAAAAATGAAGACCCATGTGCAACTTGACAATACAAAACAAAGACCTAGATGCAAACTCCGATTCAAAAAACACATATGCCAAACCTTTAAGGTTGGTTTTAGGCCCGTTTGAGAATTGATGTGTTGGGAAAGTATTGTCGGAGAAAGTTTACTGGTCGGTAAAGAAACTATGTTGCTTGATTGTACATCTGACTGACTGAGCTGAATGATGAAAAATGACCATATTACCCTATTTTTCTATATTGTGATGGATGAAGTTGCTGAATAATTATAAAAACAAAAAATTGTCATACAAAATCAAAATTACACAATAATCATTTAGAAATCCAAATAGAAATTGTTATACAAAATCAGAATTACACAAAAAATATATATTAAAATCATAATTTCTGATTGATACTTTATATATGAAACGACCATCCTAAATCCTATTCTCGAAAATCAAAAGAAAGAAAATAAGATGAAACAGATGAAGGTTCACGTTTGGTGAAGGGTGTTGAAGAGAATAAAGAAAGAGGCGAGGTTTGGGGCACAATTGTCTTTCCGGTCCATTCAGCTAGAAAGATATGGTTTTGCGGTTTTCTGGAAAAGACATATCTTATCGGAAAAGATCCATTTTTTTGGTGCAAATCAAACAATCTTTCTAGCCCATTCAGCTAGAAAGATCTGTTTGGACCTGGAAAGATGTCTATCAAATGGAGCCTTAGTTTTATGATTTTTTTTTTCCTTGTAGATTTGAGCAAAACTTATTCCCCCTCAATTCTGATTAGATTTAGGGTTTGTGTTTTTTCTGGATTTGAGCACCAAAAGGGTCTAAATAAGAGGGTTGATGGCAAATTGTTTGCATCAAGGTCAAAGGCGGATTGTTTGTTCATGGCAAATTGATTATTTGTTCATTGAGAATTGTTTGCATGTGGGTCGAAATTAGATTTATGATTTGTGTTTTTTCTAGATTTAAGCATATAAGGGGTTAGAATCAGACGATGAAACTAATTTTTGTTTTCTGCTTTCTTATGTAGGTTTGAGCATCAAAAATGGTGGATCCTCTATTCGTGGTAAGACATAATATAATAAGTAAAAAGTAAAACATAATATAATTCAAATAAATACAAAAAAAAAAAATCAAGTAGAAAGATGAAACCCAAATCAGTTGTTTAGTGACAAAATTCCTCCATATTACAACTTTCATGACTTAAAAAAGTGTAAAAAAAAATGGCAAAAGTTGGTTGCCTAAATATGACAAAACCCCAATAATAAATAAATCTAACAAACACCTAAAACACTCTTCAGATATCAAATTATCATTCATATGGTGTTTACAGACCTTGCATTGCTGCTTTCCTTCCACCCTTTTTGTCGAGCTCTTAATTCCCACATTTCAGTTTGTTGTTTTTGTGATAATAAAGCCAATTCGGCTTTTTCACGCGCTTCTTCACAAGTTTCCATTCCTGAATTACACTTATCAGCTTCTTTCTGATACTGTGATGTTAGCTTTTTGGCTTCAAGAAGTGCCATGTCAGCACGTTGTTGACTTTCTAAAGATTCAGCTTCACGAAGCTTTAGTTCTTCTGATAGAAGCTCTGAGAAATTCTTCTCTGTTTCTCCCGTTACTTCAGGGTCATGTTTTGCACAATCTGTTAAAATGGAATCAGAATTTAAAATTTTAAGATTACAATGGTATTTGAATCATTTCTTACAAGTTTGGAATGGAATTGGATTCCAATTCAGGTCAAATCCATTCAAGTATAAAGAAAATGTAGATTAAGAAAAAATTACTAACCTGTGAATGAACCATTGCTTAATGCTGCAAGAAACATAAAAAAAAAATTATCAGTATTATGCAATCTAATTAATAACCCCAAATTCAAAAACACACAATCAAATCTTGAATGTTTTCCAAATTAGAAGCTTTTCCTCCAAATTTACTTGCAAATTGAAAGAAAGAGTCAAATCGAATGCTTATGAGCACCGATCAGTGGAGATTTTGTCTGGAAACTGTCAAATTATGATATTTAAAAGCAAATCTTGATTTTGATAACGATTCCTAATTAGTCATCAGCAGATTTTCTAATTGGTTGATGTAGTCTTTTAGAAAGAAGCAGTTTGATCTCGAAAGTCATGGAGTAGGTGAGATCTAGAGGTAATTGATAGAAGGGTTTTGAGATCCATGGAGTTCAGAATGGGCGCGATTGTAAGATCAGTGTTTCTAATTTTGATAGATCGGGATGTAATAATTAAAAAGGTGAAAGAATGGAGATTGAGGTACCTTGAGGAATGGAGAGGAGCGGCTGAGAATCGCAGTCGCAATTGCAGGGAGGGCAGGAAGCGGCGGAGGATGAGCGGCGTACGGCGGCTAACCCTTCAAGAACATGCCAGTATAAAGGTGGACCGAGTAGATAACCCACCAAACACAGCCCCAAGAAAGTAATTCCGATCTTCACGACGGCCGGATTACACGATCCAGCTCTATTCAATGCCATCTACCTCCCTCTATCTCTATTTCTCTCTCTCTCTCCCTCACACACACACACACACACTTTTTCTATATATATACAATAGAGGTGTGTATATGTATATATGGGTAACAGTGGAACTGAAGATGAGTGGGAAAGCAGAAGCAAATTGAGAAGAAAATGGTTTGTTTTCTGTTTAAATTTGTTCTATCCCTTCTCTCAATCACCGACAGAAAACTATATTATATGAGAAAAGTGAGAGTGATTGATTTTGATCTTTTTACGGCAAATTCCACACATTTACAGGTTTCCGTTAATGTTTTAAGATCACTTTTTTTTTTTTTTTTTTTGTTTAATAAGGAAATATTGGGGATCGAAGAGATATGATGATATGGTTAATAATAATAATGATGTAAAAACGTGACATATTTAAGGTTACTTTCAATTTAGATTAATTAATTAGCTAATGTCAAAACGCCTACATAAAAATGCATTTGGCCTAACTGCAAGGAGTGATACTCTTAAATGGGAGGTCATGGGTTCAATGAGTAGATCGAGGAGCGGAATATGTTGACTTTCTGGCATGAGTTGAGGATCCGAGAAACTTTAGCTATGATAAGGACTAAAAGGTAGTTCTTAGGTCTATTATGGATTGAGGACTAAATAGTAGGGTTTCGGGGTAGAGCAACTACATCTTATTTTAGCTATGATAAGGACTAAATAGTAGGGTTTCGGGGTAGAGCAACTACATCTTATAGTAGTTTATTTCAGACTTTGTGAAAGAGATATATTGATTAGCCTTAGGACTTGCCCATATTTAGAGTGAAACAATTACATGGAGGATCGTAAAGATTGAAAGAAGTGGACTCATGCATTAGCATGACCTCGAGTTGGCAATAAGATTAGCCTAAGTGAGGCAATCAACTGATGTGAGCCGCAAAAGACGAAGATGCCATTTTGGGCTAGTGAGAGTTGTTCGTGATTTGAGGTTCTAAGAGTTTGAAGTGATGTTTTGTTGTGGAAGTTGATAACACATTACTAGTGATAACATTATTTGAGGTGAAGTGGATGTATGAGTTGAGGTATCCCTTGGTTAGTAGCAGTCACTAATTCAATTGTAACATACTCATGGATTGGTAGTCACTATACCAAAACGTTTTTGAATAGGGAGAAAATGAATATAGACAACTCGGATTAGAAGCAATTTCAAAAATTCAGAATATATGTTAGTCTTAGGCATGTAGAAGGGCTATAAAACATGTATTACATTTTATTAAGGATACTTTGGTGGAACACTATGCTAAATTATGATTATATACAAAGGATATTATAAAATCAATTCTACGATCCACTATGAAATAAAGTTTTATATGTGTTTTAATGGACTTAAAAATGGATGGGAAAAAGGATGTAGAAGGTATATGCGATGAAGTATTGCTATGTGAGTTGGTAGGGATGCCAACAACTAGATACTCCTAATTCTTGGATTGTGATACGTAGAAAACAGGAAAACTTGAAGTGGTTTTTAGATTTGCTTATTGATGGTCTTGATTTGCATAATAAACATGGTTTGTCATTTATGTCTGAACAACACAAGGTTTGAAATATACATTCATGTTATATATCTACTATATTTGTGTTGATGTTCATCTAATTGATGTTGAATTACATGGAAAAAAGCATTATCAAATTACGACTTATTTCCTTTTGATAGCAAGAAAACTTTAGAAATGTATAATAAATAACGCGAGTTTTTATGTAGGTGGAGAAAAGCAGTTTATCGGCCCAAATAACCAAAGGCCCATAAATAAAATCCAAATCCTAGCCAAGCCAAGTGGCCTAATCACTGAACTCCTCCGGCGACATACTATACTCTCAGCCACCACCGCCACCTCCACCACCACCGCTTCTGGAAAGCACGAGAAGAAAGTCACATCCAGTTTTGAACAAAATCACCATAGTCACACTCGGAGATATTGATCAGCCTACATAATGGACTTCGACATGCCGACGGATCTGATCAATCAATCTCAGATCGGGTTCCGAGAACTCGCCGGACTATCGTCGTTCAACCCGAGCGACACAACCCTACCGTCTCCCCCGACCATTGAGGCGTCTATATCCACCTTAGACCCGTCTCCGCCGTACCTGAGATGCAAATATTGTCAAGGGAAGCTCCTGAGAGGCTTACAGTCACTGATTTGCATATACTGTGGGGAACACCAGAAGAAGGACCTCCATCCTGACCCTATCCCCTTCAATTCAACCAGTGGCTATAGCTGGCTACTTCAATCCTTGAACTTACACGGATCGGTTAGGGTTTTTCGCTTTACTTGCTTTAATTTCATCAACATTACTTTTGAAATCCAACATAATATAGATGATTACTTAGTTAACTTCTTATCTGCTTTCAAATCATGCCATCACTACCTTATAAACTAACTAGTTTTCAGATCTGTTCTATGAGCCTCTTATTTACTTGTAATGTACTCATTTGTTTAACTATTTACATTACTTTTAGGAAAGAGTTGGATCTTTGGCTGAAGGAAATGGAGTACATGGAGGTCAGAGTCCTGCAGAAGATATAGTTACTTTATCTGAGCTTCTAGATATGCAGATTTCATGGCGCGATGAGCCTAAAAAACCAGATAATAGTCTCAACAAGACCTCTGATCTTACCAATCCTCTAAATCTTGGCACAACCAACTTAGACAACTTTTTCACAGAGCGAATTGCCTCTGATGCATCAGAAGAACAACAAGTTTCCAGCAAACAAGATCAAAATCAGGCTTTTGAGACATCTTTCCCCTCCTCCATTGATGTGAATGATGATGCTTCATCGGATTGGAATGCAGAATTCCAGTTTGCAGATTCCAAAGTGGAGAACGAGAGTCCGAAACCAGTTGACCCTTTTGTAGTTGTTCCTGAAGCCGATCTATCTGCCCACATGGATGCAGTTTTTGGACAAATGGAAGTGTCAAACAACATAAAACCGAATGAAGATAAAGTTTGGATTCAAGATGATCTATTCGCCAACATGGGTCCCACAACTTTTCAACAACCGGAGCAATTGGATTCAGTTGTTAAAACAAAAGATGAGTTCCCTGCTCATGTAAATGATCCATCTTCAAAAGATGTTGATCAAGACTGGTTTAGTGATAATAACTGGCAAAAAAGTAGTGTGAACAATTCACAGGATAAGCCGAATGATTCATTTACAGAAAGTGTTTCTGTAGATTGGTTTGAAAATGCTAATTGGCAGAAAAGTAGCGGTTTCAAAAAAGGTGATTTTAATCCACAGATTAATGAATCGAGTCAAGACCACAATGTTGCTCCTCAAATTTCTAGTGACAATAAAAGTTCAGATTTTGATAATATAAAGAAACAAGATTTAGAGACTTCTACTGACTGGTTTCAAGAAAGTCAATGGTCAACTGGTCCTTCTAGTGCCACCAATATAGTCAACACCAAAGAAGATGATGACTTTGATGATTGGAATGATTTCACAAGCTCAACTCCTAATCAAGATTCTTTCCAAGATTCATATAAACAAAGTAGTAATCAAGATTCTTTCCAAGATTCATGGAAACAAAGTAGCGAAAAGATCCCAGAATTAGATTTCTTTTCAGAATCATCTACAACAAACAAGTAAGCAATTTGAAACATATTATCAAAAGTTTGATCTTTTGTACATTATTGTCTTTTATTTATTTAGTTTGTGTTTGTGTTATTGACTTATTGTTATGTATGTATTCAGGAATGTGAATAGTGAAGGTGGAAATAATACTCCAAATGCAAATGCAAATGCAACCACAAGTCGTGAAAATGAAGTACAAATGTTGTTGTCACAAATGCATGATTTGTCTTTCATGCTTAAAAGTGAGCTTTCAATTCCCTCAAAGAAAGATGATCGTGGTCCTTCTCATGGCTAAGAGGATCTTCATCTGAAAAAGGTGAGATGCATTTGTACAATTGAAATTGGTTTAAATTGCTTGTAATAGCAACCAATTTTCCATGTTTTTTTTTTTTCATTTTAGGCAACCAACTATTGAATGACAAGAGTATAGTGGCTAGTTTTTATGCCAATTCTTTATTGTGTTGCAATCTAAATTAGAAAAAATTACAGTTGGTTGCTAGAAATGAAAAAAAATGTGGAAAGCTGGTTGTTATTACAGGTAATTTATTTAGTGTTTGAGATTTGGCAATTGGCGTTAGGTGTTTTAGACCACTTTTGTATGGTTGAATGGAAGTATGAATCAATCCTCTTGTTGTAGTACTTGTATACCTTTTGAGCTGGATTATATAGAGAGAAAAAATACTGTAAATAGATAGCGGAAGATGATTGTGGGATGTGAGTTGAGTTGTGAGATCCAGTGTTTGTTGGAAAGTTGCATTTTTATTACGAATCTTGTTGTTCTTTTTTGCATTCATTTGTTTTGGTTACTTTACTTAGTATTCTCGTTGTAATATTATTACTTTTAACAAAATTTGATTGTTTTGGTTATTATATTCAAAGTTTCAAACCATCGAATCCATGATGAATAGATTTTCAAATCCTTGGTCCTATGGAGTTTATTATGTATGTCTTGAAGTAACATATCACATATAAAAGATGATAATAATATTGGAGCATGAAACAGATAGATGTTCCACATTTGCATGGATCTCGTGGGCTTCACATGATGTTTTGTAGCACCTGTTCAGCCAGAGCTCTAGTATTTCCATCCTACAAATTACAAATATATATTATTTACTTTAGGTAGAAATAACAGCTTAATTGGAAAAGTCAAGAAATAAAGTTTTTATAAGTTTTATTCTCATTAATTTCTTAAATATTTTAAAAAATAACGAACCAAATTCCAGAATTTTAGAGAGTAGATGTGTACTTACACAGACATGGTTAAGGTATACGGGGTTCCTCAATCGCTCAGGGTAGCGTTTCTTCAACACGTTACAGCACCTACAGTTGTATTTTTTTTTATCACGTGGGTGTAAATTTAAGGCATTTAATATTGAAAGCAACATTTTATTACATATAATAATAATAAATTAACAAGTGAGTGTGAAGATTCATTTACCCGACTAACCTCGATATTTCGGAGAGTCGCAGGTAGCAAATTAGCGTATTCTTCAACAACGCGGGTGACGGCTTTCCAGAAAACTCATCCACCATTTTTGACAAAGCCCTGGACACTGAAAAAAATCTCTCTGCAAATGTCCCACAGTAGGTCTTTCCTTCTGGTTCACCTAAAATCTTACCAATCACAA